CGCTGGCAGAGTGTTTGACTGAATGAAACTCAAACCAGAACTCTGGTCTACCATTTGCTCCAACGCTGACGTTACAGAAGTCAGGTCAGCTGTGCATGTTAGAAATGATACAAGTGTTTGTTGAATGAATGTGCGGTTCACTTCTTCTGGTCCAGGCTTGTTCAGTGAGCCATGAAGCGATCTCATTATGGCTGTCACCCAACTTCATCTCCACCATCCTGGCTTCTCCAGGGCCGGCAGGTTAGAAGGAGTTTTTTCATGAGTAACCAGCATGATATGCCTTCTGCCTATGCAGCAGGTCTTCCACGTCAATGATCTAGAAGAATCGGAAGGAGATGGAAGAAGCCCAAGTGAGACAATCCCAGTGGCCACCACCAACCCAGGACAGCTGTTCTGCCGTGTTGTTTGTCTTGTTGCTTGTGTTGTGCCCCGACACAAGCTTGTGGGTCTGCATTTCCTCCTCTCTCAAGTTGCTACATTGCTCCTATTCTTCCGTGCACGTGTATACGCAACAGCTCTGGGTTCACTTCATGGGGGAATCCCAGGATTGGTGTGTAGGCAGAGCAGCCCAGTTTCTGTCCCAGCCTGGGAATTCACCATCAGCGCTTTATGCATCAGATTCAAGAAGCATCTTCTATTGCAAGGACTTGGCTTTGTTTGCAGAACTAGAACTGCTAGATGCATACATGGGGTCGCTAAAAAGCACACAGAAAATGCATATTGAGGGAAAAGACTATGCAAGACTTTTTTCTGCTAAAATCAACTTTTCATTCAATATTCCCACACTTTTTGAAGTCCTCACATGTTCCCACATTAAACACACATACACATGCAGAGAGAAACATCAGCTTTTCCTATTGCTCAGAGTTTGTATCCGTGTAGTTCTAGCCAAAAAGTTGAGTCATAGCAGAGATAGGCAGTGTGAGGTTTCTTCCTTGGAAATTATTTCTTCTCCCTGGAGTGGAATGAGTGGTGTGTAAAATGTGCATTCGTGGTCCTTTTTGAGCTGGGTCTCTCTATACTTTTTGAAAGAACCCAGAGGCAAGGGGATTGTCTTTTACAGCTGTATCTGAGTTTAGGTGACCTCAGCATGAACAGCGGAGTCCAACCGGAGCAGTGGTCATTTATGTCCAGGGCACCTTTCACTGTACACTTACGGAGAACACCTCCCTGGGGCTCCCAAGGGCTGCTCCAATGGGAGGATGTTAGCAATGGCTGATTTTCCTAAGAGCTTAGCCGTCTACAGTGGAAGCTTCTGCTGATGTCACTGTGCCTAGGAGTTATCCGGAGATCTCATTAAAATGCAGCATCTGGATGAGTATGTCTGGATGTAGCCTCAGATTCTGAAGTTCTCCTGAGCTTCCAGCAGATGCTGGTGTGGCCAATCTGAAGATGACTCTAGACCGGCTGCATGGCATTGCACTCATGGTGAAGATGCTGATTGAGAGAGCTAGACATGTAAGCATGAAGTTCCTTACAATGAATTCATTCACAATGATTATTATCATTAGGCAGTAGACCGTAACTAATTGTCTTGATTCACCTATCAGGTCACATTGCATGTTTCTCTTTCTAGTAATTACAGTTAAGCAGTGTGGTCTGCTTGTGTGTTCTCGGATAGTCGAGCGCTTGCGTTCTTCTGGCAGGTGCATGCAGAGGATATTTCTTGGGAGACCCTGGAGAGGGCAGTTTGAACAAAGAGCCTGCTTATCTGCGGCTCAAGAGACCCTTGGATGAATCCATTTTTCGTTGCTATAACAGAATGCCTGAGGCAGACTGTTTTTAAAAAAGCATAAAAGAGGTTAACTTGGTTTGTAGGTCAGGAACTGAAAGTCCAGATGGCATGGCATGGGCTCTTTCAAGGGCCACCCAATGACTAGCTTACTTCTTGGGTGGCTTTCTTGCTAGAAGAGTCTCAGGGTAGTGCAGAACTTCCCAGGGCCAGTCACAGTGAGCATGCCTGCCTCTCTCCATCCTAAGCCACTGGGATTCAGTCCTGGTTCCACCCTAAGGACCTTGTTATGCCTAATTCCACCTGTTGATGCCAAAGTCAGATGGAGTCCCCACCCTGTTGACACCCTTAGCCTTAGGCTCTCCATTCCTGCATGATTTGGGGCAATAGACCCGCATTCAAGCTCTGCAGCAATCCTGAAAGTTAGAGATCCCACAATGCTGTTCCTTGTGTCTCTCCTATTTTCCTTGGTTTTCTGACTCCACATCCTCCCTTGTGCCATGAATAACCTAGGTGCCAGAGACATCCTACTGGCATCCTGTGGCACCCTCTGGTGTTTCACTGAAAAATCACACTTCCCCCTGATCAAGATGTAGGCTTGCCAGAAAGCTGAGGAACTCCAGGAGAACAGGAACTGTGAGTGAGCCCCGCCTCGTCTGCGCCTGGCTGGGCAGTAGTCCTGCCTGTGGGCAGAGGGGCCTTTCTTCAAGTCCATCTGCACCTTGGCAGCTCTGATTGGCCATGGTCCATCTCTGCCCAAGGCGCTGCTGGTGGATATGCAGCTCTTTAGAGAGTCTGTCTGAGTCCATGTGTTCAGGTGACTGTACTGTCTTGGGGGGTCTATTGGCAGCAAAGCAAGCGAGGTGGTCTTGAGGACCACTTGAGCCAGGGTCTCCCAAATATACAACACACACCATCCCTCCTGAGAGCTCACTAAAGGCTCTTTTTTTTCAAAGGTACTGAAACTTGGTTCTTCCAGAGGTACAACGTTTTGGTTGTTTATGTTGTGCCTCTGATGGTGCAAGCAATTTCACATTTGCATTGCTAATGGACCTGTTTCCGGATGTGTTTGACATTTCATTTGACTTTGAAAGGACTTTTGTGCTGCTGTTTTTTCTCCCCTAGAGCTGCCTTAAGCTAATTAACCTATTCCCTTACTGACTTGGTTTGCTATATGCAAATATTCTCCTTTCACATTCTGACATATCACTCTTGCCTGAATGGGCCTGATGAAACCCCGGAGGGGGGGGGGGGACGTGCTGGAGTCATGCTGCTGCGGAGCCAGCAGGGGGCGTGCGGTACAATGCTTTTGGAGTTTGCTGAAGGAATGTTATTCCTAGCTAGTTGGTTTGGGAATGGGGCTTGTGCCCTTCCCTTCCAGAAGAGTGATTCTGGGGCAACTTTAGGAGGAATGCTTTTGCAGGTGCGGCAGTGAGAATGTCCGTTTTGCACAGTGCTGTCTGGGAGAGAAGGCCATGCCGACTGCAGTCATTTGGGACTCACACAGGCTGCACGGACTGGAAAGGCAGTGACTGACATGACCTCCTCCAGCATGCTGGTAGATCCTCCTTTGGCTTTAACAAATTTAGTCTTTTCACCTTGTTTGTTGTTTTTATCTTTGAAGAGTTATTTGTTTACTTGAAAGAATTACAGAGCAAGTGGGATCCTTCATGTTCCGGCTCACTCCCCAAATAACCAAATAACCACAGTGGCTGAGGCTGGGCCATAGGAGAGCCAGCAACCAGGAACTCCATCCAGGTCTCCCTCGTGGGTGCAAGGGCCGAAGCACTTGGGTCCCCTGCTGCTGCTCTTTCCAGGCACATTAGCTGTGAGCCAGCTGAGTTGGAAGTTGAGCAGCCGGGAGTCGATCTGGCACTCACCTGCGATGCTGATCTCGCAGGAAGCAGCTTAAACTGCTATGCCACAACTCTGGCCCCCAAGACGCTGATTTATAACCTTCCATCTGCTCTTCTTGGGGCATGGTCAAGAATCATGAAGGCTGGGAAAGTTTCTTTGTTGTGTCATTTGTCATCTGTTGTTCCATCCTTGGTTTCTCCCCCAGCAATGTTACAGGTGGGGAGAAGGGAGTGTAAGCCATATGGGAGAAAACTGGTTTGGGTGATACAGGACAAGGGATTTGTGACAAATGGGAGCCCTTTTGCCTTAGCCTTGGACCAGTGTCACATGCTGAAGGATGCTGCCTGTTTGTGTAGGGTTTTTAAATCAGATCACAGAAAAGAAGGTCATGCTGAGAGACTTGCCAAAACCAGAGCCTAGAATTTCCGGTATCAATCCGAGAGTGCTCAGAGTCACAGCTTAGTACATCAGCTCACCTCTGTGGCCCGGTCAACGGTCCGTGTTGGCTCTGTGAGCTTTGTGCCAGCTGGGCATTGGGCTGCCTGGAAGCGAGCCTCTTTCATGGTGGGTTGCAGGGTCACTGCGTGTCAGGGTCTGCCGTGCATGTGTACGAGATCATTTTCAGAGATGGGGGACGAAGCAGGTACATAGCCCCCATTTAGGGAACTTGACGTGCACCGGCCTTGATGTTTGATTTGATTTGTAAACCTCCATCAGATGTGCTTTGTGACATTCCTCAGCTGCTTTTGGCTTCCTGTGACCATCTTAGTGACTTGACGTTTTAGAAACTTCCAGAGAGCCGCGTTATTTTTGGCTGCCTCTTTTGGGTTAGGTTGTTGTGGGTCTGTGTGCATGGCCATGTGTTAGGGAAGAAGGAAGTTGCTGCCAAGCCCAGTCTAGACTGAGAGCCAGGTGGAATCCCCCAGAACAATGGCTCTGGCAGATAAGGACTCAGAAGCAACAGGCAGGGACCACTCCCGTATTCAACCTGTTCCTCCCCGGGGAGGAGGGGAGGCACCAGCCGACACTGGCTGATGTCACGGGGCCCGTGGGCTTCCAGCCCGGTAAAGAAGAGGTGGGGTATGGGACACAGATATTTGTGGAAAAGAAATGAGAGAATATATCACCTGTCCTGAGGTGAAAGGGAACAAAACGAAAAAGAGAAGGGGCATTGAGAATGTCACAGGGGAGCAAACTTCTTGTAAGAGTATGTGCCATGAAGTGATGCTTCACTCAGTGTCATCACACGCCCGTGTCCTGCTCAACATGGCTGTGTTTCTTACGGCTTCCACACGAGGATCCCCACTGAATCCTGAGTTTTCGTCTCCCCGAGAGCTGTCTGGTCCCAGTGCTCATGTTTCTGTTTCCTTTCTTTCCCATCCCCTTCTCCCTGCCCTCCTCTTCTTCCCAGAATCCAGAGCTGCTGCTGGCCGATCACACCCACGGGGAGATGATTCCTCATGAAGACCCTGGATCCCTGGCAGACATCCAATGTGACTTTCCGTTTATCAGACTAAAAGCAGAGCCAGCCAGCCAGTGAATCCGGTTACCGTGGACGGGGCGTGGCGAAAAATGAAATCCAACCAGGAGCGGAGCAACGAATGCCTGCCTCCCAAGAAGCGAGAGATCCCCGCCACCAGCCGGCCCTCGGAAGAGAAGGCAGCGGCCCTGCCCACCGACAACCACAGGGCTGAGGCGGCATGGCTCCCCAGCAACCCTGGTGGCCGTGGCCACGGGGGTGGGAGGCACGGGCCGGCGGGGACTTCTGCGGAGCTCGGTTTACAACAGGGAATAGGTTTACACAAAGCGCTGTCCACTGGGCTGGACTACTCCCCACCCAGCGCCCCCAGGTCGGTGCCAGCAGCCACCACGCTGCCCGCAGCGTACCCTCCCCCACAGTCAGGGACCCCAGTGTCCCCCGTGCAGTACGCTCACCTGCCGCACACCTTCCAGTTCATCGGGTCTTCACAGTACGGTGGACCCTATGCCGGCTTCATCCCTTCCCAATTGATCTCCCCGACGGCCAGCCCCGTCACCAGCGTGGTGGCCACTGCGCCATCTCAGCGCTCCCAGCTGGAGGCCTACTCCACTCTGCTGTCCAACATGGGTGGGCTGAGCCAGGCCCCGGGGCACAAGGTTGAGCATCAGCAGCAACTGTGCAGGGCTCCGGGGCTTGTCACCCCGGGGTCCCCCCCACCCACCCAGCAGAACCAATATGTCCACATCTCCAGTTCTCCGCAGAGCTCCGGGCGCCCAGCCTCTCCCCCGCCTGTGCCTGTCCACCTCCACCCCCATCCGACGGTGATCCCACACACGCTCACTCTGGGGCCCTCCTCCCAGGTCGTCGTGCAATACACAGATTCCGGCAGCCACTTTGTCCCCCGGGAGTCCGCCAAGAAAGCCCTGGGTAGCAGGCTACAGCCATCCCTCCAGGCCAAGGAGGTCTTAAATGGGGAGATGGAGAAGAGCCAGCGGTATGGGGCTCCATCCTCAGCAGACCTGGGTGTGGGCAAGGCCGGGGGCAAGGTGGTCACTCACCCCTACGAATCCAGACACGTGGTAGTGCACCCAAGCCCGGCGGACTACAGCAGCCGAGACCCGCCAGGGGTACGAGGCTCCGTGATGGCTTTGCCCAACAGCAGCACACCGGCCGCAGTGGCAGCCTCTGACCTGGACGTCCAGCAGGCCACGCATCGTGAGGCCTCGCCCTCCACCCTCAACGATAAAGGCAGTCTGCACTTGGGGAAGCCGGCCCACCGCTCCTATGCGCTGTCACCCCACACGGTTATCCAGACCACGCACAGTGCTTCAGAACCACTTCCGGTCGGACTGCCAGCCACAGCCTTCTACGCGGGCACGCAACCCCCAGTCATCGGCTACCTGAGCGGCCAGCAGCAAGCAATCACCTACGGCCAGCACCTGGTGATCCCTGGCACCCAGCCCCTGCTCATCCCGGTTGGGAGCTCTGACATGGAGGCGTCAGGGGCAGCCTCTGCCATCGTCACATCGTCGCCCCAGTTTGCTGCAGTGCCTCACACGTTCGTCACTACCGCCCTTGCCAAGAATGAGAACTTCAGCCCCGAGGCCCTGGCCACCCCGGCTGCCTACCCAGCAATGGTACAGGCCCAGTTCCACCTGCCCGTAGTGCAGTCGGTGGCGTCCCCCGCAGCAGCTCCCCCCACGCTGCCCCCTTACTTCATGAAAGGTTCCATCATCCAGCTGGCCAACGGGGAGCTGAAGAAGGTGGAGGACTTGAAGACGGAAGACTTCATCCAGAGCGCCGAGATCAGCAGCGACCTGAAGATAGACTCGAGCACCGTGGAGAGGATCGAAGACAGCCACAGCCCCGGCGTGGCCGTGATCCAGTTCGCAGTCGGGGAGCACCGAGCGCAGGTAACAATCACCCGTCATCCAGGTAGGGGCTGCCTCGCCATGCACATCGCCCTCTCTGGGCGGCAGGAGGTACTGCTCTCATTTCTTTTTAAAAGGTTTATTTGAAAGGAATTGTGGCGTAGAAATGGGGAGATAGAAATTACCCACTGGTTCATTCCCCCAAATGGCTGCAATGGCGAAGGTCAGGCTGGAGCCAGGGGCTCTGTCTGCATCGCCCATATGGGTGGCAGGGTCGTCTTCCGCTGCTATCCCAGGCACAATAGTAGTAGGGAGCTGGATTGGAAATGATACAGGATGCTGGCCTTACAGGTGTTACAGCACAGCCCTGGCCCTAGGAGTTGCTTCTGCGAGGTAGAATTGAGGAGCGGTTTCTTTTATGCCTGGACCAGCTGTGTCCTCAAGCACATTAACCTTTGCCTTCCCCGTGGTAGCTGTCATTTGCATGCAATTATGCTGAATGCATCCCGGAGTAGCCTCCTTGGGACAGTTCAGAAAATCACAGTGCTCGGTGTTTTTTTGATTCTGACTGCCTAGCTAGCAGTCAGTCATCCTGGACTTTTTCTCACCAAGAAGTGAGAGAGGCTGCTTGTCTGCATCAGCACATTCGACACAACGAGCAGCTACCGCACCTGCAACCCATCAGATCGTCTTCTTCTGGAATGGCGGGGCTAATGGAGGAGATCTGGGCGATTCTCATTGAAAGGATAGCTTGTCGTACATTCAGATTCCAGGAGAAGGAACGTGGCCATGCCACGGGCGGAGTAAACAGAGAAGTAAATGGTAGGGGTGTTAGGTTGTAAACGCACTTAAAGTTCTTACGTTGTTACGCACAGCTGGTTCTCGCAGCCGGGTCCTCTTTTCACGATTTGTGGATAGCAAGCCAGAATTCCAGACGCCTTGAGGTATTAGGGGGTCCTTTATTTCAGCAGGGTAGGAAGGGAAACCTCTCCTGCCATGGTGGCAGGATGAGGGCTGCCAGGGCAGGCGGAGGGGACAAAATGGAGGAGGAAGTGAAGAGCCAGGTCAAAAGGGAAGGGGAAGAGAGAGGCAGAAGGAAGGGGCTGTGGGCAGAGCCACAGGTAGAGGGTAGGCCAGGATGAGATTCGGGGGTGGGACTCTCAGATAAGACACTGTGAGTTGACATTTTACTGGGGAATAACCAGAACGGTGTGAATTTCAAAGGGGAAGCCGGAAGTGGCACAGGGACCAAAATGGGATGTTGGAGCCACTTCTCACAAGGGGAAACAGGAGGAAACATGGACAAGAGCTCCTTTGTCATTTCTGTGGGCAGCAGTGGGCACCAGGCTTAGAATTCACTGGTGTGAATTGGCTTTGGGACAGCTGTGGACTGTCCCCACTTATATGGGAGCTGTCCCTGCTTTCCTGAGGGCAAGTGGTTTAGTGGCCCTGGACATGGTGGACATGTCGCAGGAGGTGGCTGAACTGGTCCTTTTGCCTGTGAAAAATGCTCCCAAGTGAGGTGTTCGCTGCGTTAGGAACAAACTGGTCCCAGGCCCTGAAGTGTTAAAGCATCAAAAAATACAAGGTTGCGAAACCAGGGCTGTGTGCAGCTGACCTCACCCGTCATGGAGTCCCATGCAGGTTTTCCCAGTCTTGTTAGGTTTTGCATGGGTGATTCACTCTGTTGATTTCCAGGGGCTCTCCTTTCAGTCTCTTAGATCACTTGCAAAGCCCATTTCTATGAATCAGAAGTTTCACCACCCAGGTTTCTGCGAGCGGAACACACTTGGTCCCCAGCTGGGAAGTTCCAAGGCTGCAGAACCTACTCTGTCCAAGTCCTCTTCCCAGAACTTTATGACCTTAAGGTGTGACAGCGCCCACTGCAGGTGCATGCTGAAAACGGTTGGGAAACAACTGATCTTTGGGCTATTCAAAGACAAAAATAATAATAATTCGAGCAGATAAAATAGTTAAGAATTGGAACTGCCTTGAGAATGTTTTTATTTATTTTTGAAGGTTTCTTTATTTAAAAGAGCAGCATAGATAGGGAGCCCTTTCCATTCTCTCAGTTTACTTCTCAAATGCCTGCAGCAGCTGGGGTTGGCCTGGGCTGAAGCCAGGAGCCAGGAACTCCACCCAGGTCATTCTGGGTGGTCCCACCATGGCTTTGAGCATTCTGTAAAGGATCTAGTGAAGGAGGAAATAGGGCAGGTTTCACAAGTGTTTTCTAGACCTGCCCGAGAAGGCCCAGAGATAGGATTTTTCATAGCCTGCAGGGGACCTGCCCTGCTGAGGTCCTTCAGCCCCTAACACACGTCACTTTTTAGGGTGGGATATCGCTGTAGGCTTACAGTCTTTGGTAAGGCTCAAGGAAAAAAAAAAATTTCTGCAAAATTATGATAATGAAGAAAAAGAACAGGACCCAGGTTGTGGTGCAGAGCATGGAAGCGGCCACCTGCCATGCTGGCTCCCCATCTCTAAGTGTCAGGCTATTACCACTTCAGATCTGGCTGCCTGCTCATGTGTCTGGGAAAGTAACAGAAGAGGGGCCGGATGCTTGGACCCCTGCCACCCATGAGGGAGACCAGCTGGAGCTCCTGGCCAGTCTGGCCAGCCCTGTTGCAATATTTGGGGAATGAACCAACAGATGAAAAGAAGTTTTTCTTCTGTGTCTGTGTGTCAACCTGGCATTTAAAAATAAGAGTAACAAATGTGAATTTTTTTCAAAGGTCCCAATTCCTCAGCACTCCCTGCCCAGGCGTGCACTTCTCCAGGAAGTAGGGAGAGAATCTTAGTACAAAATGGACTGCCTTGAGTGGAGTTTGCTCTTCACAGACCCCAGGTGGTTCGTTATTTGGAGCCCTAAAAGTTCCTGAATTCTTGCCTTGTTATGTGCAGCTAATTCCTGAAGCCAAGTTCCTTTACCTTAAGCGAAAACACCAGACCCAACAAGGTACTTTAGGAGGTGTATTCCAGCAGGGCAGGAAGGGGCCAAGGGTGGTGGGAGAAGAGAAAGTGAGAGAGAGGGGACGGGTACCCTGGGAGCCCTTTATGTCATTCAGGTGATGCCACAAGGTGTGTGTGGGGGAGTGAGGAGTGGATTGGGAGGGATTGAGGGCAGCCCCCAGGAGATTGGTGCCTGAGATTGTCGCAGGTGATTGCCTAAGGATGATTGGTAAGTGGGCGGGTTGGGGGAGGGATCGAGAGAGATTGGGGGTGGGATTCTTAGGTTACTTCTGATTGATGGATGACCAGAACGGCGTGAATTTCGCGAGCTGAAGGGGAAGCAGGGTCCAAGATAAGAGGTTCTAGTCACTCCTTGCACAGGTGAGGCATGGAGAAATACCTTGAATGGAAAGGAAATGGATTCTTCATGATACCCATAATCCCGGCAGCATGCCAGCTGGCAGAGACAGGTGGGAAGGAGGTTTTGCTGTGACGTGTGGCTAGTTACTTAGCAGCGTGTTTCGGCTAAGAGAGAGCCTTTAGCTGAGAACTGAGCTGCCCCTTCCAGGCCCTGGCAGCTGTGTGAGTTTAAACCTCTGGGAGTGCCCACAGCCCTGTCAAGTGCCAGGAGAGGAAGCACCGTGGGTGGACCTCAAAGCATGGTGCTTACCCCTCACAACTGAAATGTATGCATAGATTCCTTGCTAATATTCGTTTTCCATGAACTTAAAAAAGATGTACTTATTTAGAAGGCAGAGACACAGAAATCTTCCACTGGCTGATTCCCTCCCCCAGATGGCTGCAATAGCCACAGGGCTAGGTCAGGACAGACAGGAGCCGGGAGGAGCTTCTTCCAGGTCTCCCATGTGGGTGCAAGGGCACAAGGATGTGAACCATCTTCCACTGTTTTCCCAGATGTATTAGTAGGGAGCTGGATGGGCAGTGGAGCAGCCAGGAGTCAAACCAGTGCCCATGAGAAATGCCAGCATTGTAGATGGCAGCTTAACCCGTTACAATGGCAGCCCTTCCATACACTTTTCAAAGACTCCCCTATGCATGGATTTCTAACGTGTTTGACACCCATTTAAATCCACCTTTAAATTCTGTTTTCTGTGAACTGTTCCAAGTACCCTGATAGGTGTGTTTTCTTCTGTTTAGAACTTTGCAAAATAAATAGATAGATAAGACTTCCCCAGGATGTGGGGCCCACTCTGATTTGTCACTTTGCTGACAGACCACATACAGCTTAGCAGGTGGAATGTTGGTCCTGGTCCTGTTGGCAATGGCAGCTCCCTACATGGTCATGTGGCATGCTGGAAGCCACAGGGGAAGGCCTTCTACAGAGAAAGGTCAGCTGCGAAGGCAGCTTGCATGCCAAGCTGCAGAAACAGCCATTTGTCACTTTCCCAGGAAGCCCATCAGAAAGCAGCTGTCGTCACCAGCTGTGCCTGCCACCCTTGGCCACAGCTTCAGAATGAGAGGAGAGTCACAGAGGGATTCCAGGGACAAAGAGGAAGAACCCATCACAGGAGCACATTGAGGTTCCAGACAGCAGTGTCTGGTGGTGGGGGCAGCCAGGGACCACCCTTGGGGGCTGATACAAATGCACAGTTGCTCTCATCACTAAGGCAGGCATTTGAAGCAGAAAAATATCTTTAAAAATGCACAGCAAACACACAGGATGCAAACACAATGGGTTACCTTCTGGTGATCAAGGTTGAGGAGCTGAGCTCCTGGCTACTGTGGAAAGAGGGCTCGTATCCTCTCTCGCTGATGCTTTACCCAGAGCGGTACAGGAGGAAAATGCCTGCATGTATTCATTGCTGCTCTTGTGGCTTGACCAGAGCCAGCCCAGCAATGCCCTGCACTGGCAAAGCACCCTGTACATTCTACATCCTCACCCTGGTGCTGTGGGAGAAGAGTGGGGAGCTCCAGGTGTGGTTCCTGATCCTTATGTCCACCAAGGAAGCCTGCTCCCTCTGCAGGTGCATGGCAGGTAGTGCTTCCATTCCGGGCTGCTGTTTCTGCCATCACTGATTCTGGTGGAGCAGCAGGTATTTCCCTTAGGTCTCAGCACAGCATCAGTCCATGGT